TGATTTTCAAAGTGTGGTTCATGGACACTCTGGAGGCCTTCAAGGTAGAAACTATTTTCATAATGATACTGAGATGTTATGAGTCTTTTCACTGTGCTGATATTTGCCCTGACAGGGAAAAATAATGTTCGGAGAAACCATTGCAGCCTTGGTGTGGATGAGAGCAGAGGGACAACCAGTGCTGGCAGTCCTTGCCTTCTTCTCCATCACACACTCCCTTATACAAAAAAGCCATTCATTTAAGAATGTCCTTGGTGAAGCACTAAGTGCTTAATAAAATTATTTAAATGTTTAATAACATTACTCCTTTTATTCAATCTCAACTGTTGAACAGATGTCTGAAGATTCTGGGTGCACAGTGGGGAGTGTGTCTGCACAGAGCACTTCTGCTGCACGCTCCCAGTGGTTGAGTTGCACGCTGCCTGAGCTGCTTGCTCGTGAAACACATTTTGACTTGGAAGCATGATGGACAAGCACATGATGGCTACACGCTACTGAGAGATAAACTAGTGGGCGCCTGGCGGACACCTTCTCGCCAATGAATGGAGCATGCCTTCCACTTCAAAGAAAAGTACTGGCAGTGTTTGTTTTTAAAGTTAAATTTGAGTTTTCAAGCAAAACTGAGAATTTTGGAAAACATTGCCACCACCAACTTGACATTTCCTAATATGTAAAGACTTTTTTTCTGATGGATCAGTTGTAAGGTTAACAAAGAACATTAATTTTTGATGTTGTAAAATGAAGGGTGTCCTCACTTGGCAGACCTGTATAACTCAGTGCCCCGGTGTTTTCCCAGTGACCAGTCCATGATGTTACAAAATTATGCATGGGTAAATGATCTATTTCAAGTATAAGGCTACATTTTCTTCAACCAAAACAACACATAATTTAACAGGCTAAATGCAGAAGCAGATCTGAGAATCTAGCTATGTTTAAGTCACATAGTAAAGAGATTTGCAAAACATCTCGCTGATAGTTTGGTTTTAGAAAATACAGCGATTTTTCACAGAAATGTTATCTTGACATGTAATAAGTATGTTATTGCCATTTTAAAACTAATAAGTATTCTAAAAATTCTCATTTTTGTAGTCTAATATTATAAATGTTTATAGATATAACCTACATAAATAAAAGCTCTTTGAGGTCTTCCATAATTTTTAAGAATGTGAAGAGCTTCTGACGTAAAGTTTGAGAACTGCTGTCTCAGGGCGTAGCGGTGGTGGGGGTGCGGATTGCTCCGTCACAGGTGTGGATACGTGCAAACTGCTCTTCGAAGGTTGGCAAGAATTTACATCCCCACTAGTAGACTATGAGAGTCCTGTCTTCCGACACCCTCCATCACCCGTGTTGTGTATCAGACTATAAAATGTTTGCCATTCTGAAGTGAGTGAAATAATATCTCATTGTTATTTTAATTTGTATCTCCCTGATTACTAGTGAGTTTGATATAATTACACGTATTTATTGGTCTTTTGGTTTTCTTCCTCTGTGAATTACATATTCATATTCTTTGCTCATTTCCCATTCCTTGTATCTCATTAGATTGTCTTTTTTGTTTGTTTTCTTGCTTTGTAGGAGTTATTTATATTTCTTCATTCCTAATCATTTGTCAATTATATGAAGCAAATATTTTCTTTCAATCCCTGACTTGCCTTTTAATTTTGTTTATCATGCTTTTTTACTGAACGAAAGTTTGTATTTTGATAGAATCAGGTTCATCAATTTTTTATTTTATTCTCTTCTGTTTTGTATTTTTTTATCTTGTCTAAGAAATTCTCTCATATCTATGCATGTCTATTTGTATATTTTCTTCTAAAACTTCTAGGGGTTTGCTTTCCACATTAGATGTTTAACCACCTTGAATTGAACTTTGTGTACGGCGTGAGGTAGAGATCTGCTCCTCCTGCCAAGCTGCAATCAATCATCCCAGCACCTCTTACTGGCCAGTCAGCTTCTCCCCATTGATCTCCGCAGCCCCGCCTCCCACGTGCCCAGTTTCCACGTAGGCATGTTTGTGTATTTAGATGCTTTATCCTTTTCAATGGGATCATTTGTCTATCCATACTCAGAAATACCCCAGTCTCCTGGTGACTATAGTTTTACAGTAATTCTTGATATTATTGACATATAATAATTTTTCTTGAAGTCCTCTATCTTAATTATGCTTCAGAACTCTCTTGCCTCTGATAGGCCTTTGGTTTTCCATAAAGACCAAATAAATGCAAGGATTTTTCTGTAGTGTTCCATGGTAAACTCAGCTTGGTATGTTCATTTTGAATTTTTTGATTTATTTGAGAATAATACAAATAATTCAAGTATTTAACCTTACAATTCATCATGTTTTCTCTTAATCCTTCAATGAGTATTTGTAATTTTCTGCATAGGGACCTCTAGCATTTTTTTGATAGATTTACTCCTAGAAATGCATAGGAAATATTCACTGATATTTTGAATGGTTTTTCCCATTACATTTCAGATTGGATATTCCTAGTGTAAAGAAATATTATTGATTTTTCATGCTGACCTTTGTGCCCAAGAACTTTTCTAAAAACATTTTATTTTAATTATTTATCTGTATATTCTTTGGTGTTTCTAGGGACAAAGTCTTATCATCTGTGAATAACTGTTTTGTACTTTTTATTTGTAAATTTTATAAAGTTTATTGCTTTACTGAAGTTTTAGGCTCTCCATAACATAGTGAATGGAAGGGGTGATAGTAACTTGTGTAACAAGAGTTACAGATTTTAATGTAAATGCTCCTAAAGTCTTACTATTAGGTATGACTCTTATGCAACTTCCTAATAAAAAGCATTTTCGAGAAAGACAAGTCACTTATTGTTAGTTTGCTAGGCATGTTAATCAGTGATTAGCGTTGAGTTTTGTCACTTTTCTTTGTCTGCATCTGTTGAGATGGCGGTTTCTTTTAAAATCCCTTAAGTAAACTGGCACAGCCACTATGGAAAACAGCATGAAGGTTCCTCAAAAAATTTGCAATAGAACTACCATATGATTGAGCAAAGAGAAATCCCTTAAGATGATATATATTAGTAGTTTTTCAGATGATGAGTATATTAAAGAATTATCTGATATTGAGCCATCTTTTAATTCTTGGATAAATCTACTTGGACATGATGTTTTAAAATGATTAACAATTACTTTTAATATTTATTTTGTATACTGCTGAAATTAGTTATCTGGTATTTTGTTTAGTTTTTCCACTTATGTTTCCATTTATATAACTTTCCTTATACTGACTTACCCAGTTTTTTTGGTGTTCTGATTTTACCAACTACATAAAATGATTTGGGTAATTTGCTTTGCTTTTCCGTTTTCCGAATCTGCCTGGATGATAAGGCAGATTTTTGTCTGTTTCTTTGTTCCTTGAAGGCTGGAGTAAATTCACCTGTAAAATATTCTGCTCCAGTATCTTTGGATTACGTATTCAATTTCTCCAATGATTATTTGTTTATTTATCTTTTCTGTTGCCTCTTGGGTCAGTTTTAGAAATTTATATTTTTCTAATACATATTTATTTCTTTTAAGCTTTCAGATTATTATATAATGTTCACAGCATTCTCTTCTGATGTTTAACATCTACTGAATATTTTTGTCCCTCTTTTTATTACCTTTTATTTTTGATCAGACTTCCTAAAACTCTGTCTACTTATTAGATTTTTTTTCAAGAATCAGCTTTGGATTTTATTTATCCTTTCTATTATTTTCTATATTTTTGTTTCTTTATTACAATCTTAGTTTTTCCTGCTTTTCCTTTTTTTTAGATTTATTTTTTCAGTTATTTTTCTAGATTCTTAACTTGAACATTTATTTAATCTTTCTATTTTCTATTAATGAGTTTAAATGCTATAAAGTCATCTCTGAATAGTGATTTAGCTTCATTCACATCATGTTTTAATATTTAATAATTTTTTGGTAATTTAGGCTTTATTTAAGAGTTCATTTTAAGGTACCTAAATGTATGCTTTTGTTATGTTTTTGCTACTTTGCCATATTGATTTCTCATTTAATTATATCATGATCAGAGATGACATGTATGATCTAAGTTCTGTAAAATCCAGGTGCCATACCAATATTTGTAAATCTTCTATGTGTTCATGAAAAGATGATACAGTCTTTTGTGATGTGGGGTTCTCATGATCTAACTAGTACTAACCTCCCTTTGTAATTATACATTTATCAATATTTTATCAATATATTGATAAATATATTTTAAAGCTATGACAAGTATAATACTGTCATGCTTGTTATCTTCCTGTTGGACTATGTCTTTTATTATCACATACTGTCTTAATTTATTTGTCTTAATGCTTCTTGGACCTTAAATCTATTTGGTATTAATATTGCCATAACTATTTTGTCTAGTATTTAAATACTATATGTTTTCCAGCCCTTCATTTTTATTCTTCTGTGTTGTTTTGTTCTAGATATGTCTCTTGTAAGCAGCATATGGCTGGATTAAAAAGACCAATTAAACCTTTTAAATTGATGAGCTTAATTCATTTACAATCAGTGTGATTATTTCTATATTTGAACTTATTTCTACAATCATATTTTGTATTTCCTGTTCACTGTTTTCTGTGCCTCCTTTTCCTCTTCCTTGATTTTTGTTGTTAATAGTTTTTTTTTTTAATTTTAAGTAAGTGTCTTTTCTTTCTTTTTTAAGATTTAATTTATTTATTTTTAGAGAGGGAAGGGAGGGAGAAAGAGAGAGAGAGAGAGAAACATGAATGTGTGGTTGCTGGGGGCCATGGCCTGCAAGCCAGGTATGTGCCCTGACTGGGAATTAAACCTGTGATGCTTTAGTTCGCAGCCCATACTCAATCCACTGAGTTATGCCAGCCAGGGCTTGTGTCAATAGTTTTTAATATTTCATTTTCTTCTGATGATTTAGAAGATGCAAAAGTACTTTTAGGCTGCTTTTAATCTGAAAGGTACTGAATTATACTATTTTATTTTTTAGAAAAACAAAGTCTCTTTTTCGCCATCTTGAATCCTGTGGTGCCTGCCAGGAACAGAACTTCTGCAACAACAAATATGTCTGGAAGGCTGTGGTCCAAGGCCATTTTTGCTGGCTATAAATGGGGTCTCTGGAACCAGAGGGAGCACACAGCAACTCTTCTTAAAATTGAAGGTGTTTATGCTCGAGATGAAACTAAATTCTATCTAGGAAAAAGATGTGTTTATGTGTACAAAGCAAAGAACAGCACAGGGACTCCTGGTGGTAAACCAAACAGAACCAGAGTCATGTGGAGAAAGGTAACCCGTGCTCATGGAAGCAGTGGCATGGTTCGTGCTAAACTCCGAAGCAACCCTCCTGCTAAGGCCATTGGACACAGGATCCATGCAATGCTGTACCCCTCCAGGATTTAAACTTACTGATAAATAAATAACAACCTGACTGTGTGGCTTGGTTGGGGGCCCTCTGGCTAAGCGAAGGATTCTGGGTTGGGGGACATGGTTGGGCTGCAGATTCAGTCCCTGGTCAAGATGCAAAGGGGGGCCAACTGATGGATGTTTCTCTCACACGTCTATGGTCTCATCCTTTTCTCCCTCTCCCCCCTCAAATGAGTAAATAAAATCTGTTTAAAAGAGTAAGTAACAAACAAACAAACAAACAAAGTCTGTAGTTATTCAGCATTTCCTTTTTCCAATGACATCAGGGTCTTTTTAAAAAATTGTTTTTTAATATATTTTTATTGATTATGCTATTACAATTGTCCCATTCCCCCCTTTATTCCCCTCCACCCTGCACATCCCCTCTTACCTGCATTCCCCCCTCTAGTTCATGTCCATGGGTTGTACATACAAGTTCCTTGGCTTCTGTATTTCCTACACTATTCTTACCCTCCCCCTGTCTATTTTCTACCTACCATTTATGCTACTTACTCCCTGTACCTTTCCCCTCTCTCTCCCCCTCCCATTCCCCTCCATGTGATAACCCTCCATGTGATCTCCATTTCTGTGATTCTGTTCCTGTTCTAGTTGTTTGTTTAGTTCATTTTTTTTAGGTTCAGTTGTTGATAGTTGTGAGTTTGTTGTCATTTTTCTCTTCATATTTTTGATCTTCTTTTTCTTAGATGGAAACCTTTTTCTTAGATAACATTTCATATAATAATGGCTTGGTGATGATGCACTCCTTTATCTTGACCTTACCTGGGAAGCACTCTATCTGCCCTTCCATTCTAAATGAAGCTTTGCTGGATAGAGTAAATCTTGGATGTAGGTCCTTGCCTTTCATGACTTTGAATACATCTTTTTAGCCCCTTCTTGCCTGTAAGGTTTCTTTTGAGAAATCAGTTGACAGTCTAATGGGAACTCCTTTGTAGGTAACTATCTCCTTTTCTCTTGCTCCTTTTAAGATTCTCTCCTTATTTTTGATCTTGGGTAATGTAATTATGATGTGCCTTGGTGTGTGCTTGCTTGGGTCCAACTTCTTTGGAACTCTCTGAGTTTCCTGGACTTCCTGAAAGTCTATTTCCTTGGCCAGATTGGGGAAGTTCTCCTTCATTATGTTTTCTATTTCTTGCTCTTCCTCTTATCCTTCTGGCACTCCTATGATTTGGGTCTTGGAGTGTTGAAACTTGTCCTGGAGGTTCCTCAGCCTCTCCTTGTTTTTTTGAATTCTTGTTTGTTCATTTAGTTCTGGTTGAATGTTTATTTCCTCCTTCTGCTCCAAACCATTGATTTGAGTCCCGTTTGCCTTCTTGTCACTGTTGATTTCCTGTACATTTTCCTTTATTTCACTTTCATAGCCTTCACCTTTTCCTCTATTTTGTGACCATACTCAACCAGTTCTGTGACCATCTCAATTACTAGAGTTTTGAACTGTGCACTTGATATGTTGGCCATCTCTTCATCACTTAGTTGTATTTTTTTTTTATGGAGTTTTGATCTGTTCTTTCATTTGAACCATTTTTTTTTTTTGTCTCGATGCACCTGTTATGTAGCAAGGGGTGGAGCCTTAGGTGTTCACCAGGGAAGGGCAACCCGTCACTGTATTGTGACGCTATCAGTGGGGAAGAGATCTGAGAGGGAACAGTGCCACTTGCTCCACTCTGTGCTGGCTTTCAGTAACTTCCCCTGCTCCCCACAAGCAAACTGGGCCCTTTGGTGCTGATTCCCAGGTGGGCGGGCTTGTGTACATTCTAGGACCCTGTGGGTCTCTCCAATGAACTCTCTTATGAGGCTTGGAGTTTTTCCTGATGCCAAAACCCTCACAGATTTTTTTAGTTAGAGGTTTTGAGGCTTTATTTCCCCACGCTGGAACCCTTGGTTGTGTGGTCTGTCTCACTCTCCAGTTGTTCCTCCTGGTTTATCTGTATGTAAATGTGGGACCACCCAGTCTAGCAGCTGCTGCCTTGCTATGAGTCCTCTCCACCATGGCTGCCTGTCTCCACCCCTCCTAATGATATGTATGAATGTTTCTTCTTTAACTCCTTGGTTGTTGGACTTCAATACAGTTTGATTTTCTGGCAGTTCTGGTTGTTTTTTTGTTTTTAAGCTTGTTATTGCCCTTCTTTTGGTTGTATGAGGAGGCACAGTGTGTCTACCCACACCTCCATTTTGGCCAGAAGTCTCATGACATCAGGGTCTTAATGTATATTCTTACCAACTGTTGACTGTTACTGTAGTTTAGAGTTATTAGTTGCTATTTTAATAGCCATATTTGTCCCAAATTCTACATTTTCTGTGATCATATTTTTCTTGCCAATTTCTTTCCTTCTTTTTTTAAAAAAAAACTCTCAAGGTCCTTGGCTGGTATATTCCCTTCATCTTTATATACCTTCAAGTATCTCTGTGTTGCCTTTGCTTTTAAATGATACTTTGGATAAGTATCAATTTCTTGGTTGTCACTTTTCTCTCAGCATGTTGAAGATGTTATTTCACTGCCTTTGCCATCTACTTGTAGAAAAAAGCCTTAATTTATTTCTTTAAGGGGTCAATCTCCCCAGTATCTAGGTTGACAACTGCGGATGCTAAAATAGGCTGGATCTGAGAGGTAAGCCCCCCTGCACTCCACAGATTCCTCCTCGGCATAGTTTCCGTGGCTTCTCATTAAGGCATCTTTTCATGAAATGCCAAGATAGATTGTCCCAGGAATGTATAAGACTCAAAAAATTTGTCATGCATATTCATAATTTTTTTTTCAAAATAGGCTTCTATTTAAAATACTTTTTAAAAGCACCCATAAATTAGGTACATTTACATATTCATAATAAGAGGAACTAGGAACTGAAACAAGATAGGAATAAGTACCTTTGTAAGCAAAGTTGTATTATAGAGGTATTGTATTATAGGGAGTTGTATTGGCTCTCACCAATCACTTAGAGCCACTGACTTCTCATGCTGGCTCTACCTGCATGACTCTGGGCAAGTCACTGGACCTCTCTCTCTCTTTTTCATCTCTGTTCCTTCAGTTATACGGTGAAAATGCTGGGCCAGATAAATGGTTTTTTAACTAGGTTCTATGGAGTCAACCTGAGGGTTGTTGAACTGGTCGGGGTGGGGAGCTGAGCACCCTGGCCCCTCCTGTTTGTAGAACCCACTAGTGAGGGGCTGCCTTTGGGAGACAGCAGCTGAGTGAGAGGACATGGTGTAATTCAAGAAGTGCGAGAGATCTTCCCTGCTTGTATGCACGTTTAAAATAACACACTTCGGTACTTCTAAAACTTCAGGAGATGTCTCAGTACCAAGGTTTTGCTGTTTATAAACCCTATGTTATAGTTATAAGTAAGATCCATGTGTATTGTAAGTATCTTTTCATCACACAAATAAATTAGTACTGACAATCTAGTCCTTGAAAATTCTTGTCAGTGAAAGTTTCCTGTGTGCAACTGTTATTTAAATAGGCAATGTGTTCTACAATGGGTATGACATTTTCCATGGCCTTCCATCTCTGGTGTTTCTTTTATGTTTATTTTAAGTGGTTACATTCTTCACATTTTCAGTTAATTCTTTTTTAATGAAATATGTTCCAATTTGCTCTGTTTGTGGATTTATAGTATCCCTCTTAATGGGATATATTGGATTTAGGTGTCTTTCTTAAACCTTACTCTGGCGTCATAATCCAATGTGGAGATGAGCTATCTGTCATGTCAGCTCCAGGGGTTCATTGCGGTCCATCGGGAATGCAATGCAATAAAACGATGCAGTTTCTTAAGTGGAATCAAGGAACATCCCACAGGTCGTTTGCAGGAGCACAGAAATGCCAGAGAGAAACCAGCAAGGAGACCCTCTCACTGCAGACGATCACACCTTCCTGTTAGTGTTGTTACTGTGCTCTAGCCCACGTACAGAGCGTGTTCTTCTGTTTGGGTCTCTATTCTGGGAATCCTTTTTTTATGCTGTTTAATTTCGGAAAGAATATTAAACTAGCAGCAGGTGGTAAAAATGTATGTTTTGCTTGGTGTTTTTACATGGAGAAGAAAAGAGTAACATCATATTTTGGAATATAATTAAAAACTTGAATTTCATTTTAAATCTCAATTAATAATCCTTCCCCTAAGGTAGTGTTTATAATTGGCAATAGCCTAGTACTATTCAGGTACTGGGATAGCACGAGTTCTTTATGTCAACTCTGATGCTATCGTCTCCTTCAACCAGGGAAGCAAGGAAATGGAAATCAGCTCTAATACTACCTAAATCAGGGCCTACGTTTGGAGATACCCCAAATATGCTACAAAACACTCTGTTCCCACAGGTGTCTTTGGGGACAGTCGTGTATCTAGCATGGTTTTAGATGAATATGTGGCCTCATTTGGCATTACTGTGGGGGTCTGGGCCCCCTCCAACCTTTAGGCACAGCAGTCAATATGCTCCAACATCCTTGACGTGCATATTTTAAAAATTACTTTGTGGACTTTATCACAAGGCATTTGACAATATTTATGTTCAAGAATGTCATTATAGAAGCATTTAAAATCACAATAAATTGAATAAAACTCCCTTTTAAGGACTGAATGTTTGTTTACTCCCAAAATATAGGGTCCAGCAGAAGTAATGCCTACTTGAGTGTGGTTGGCAGGGTAATAATAGCATGGGTGTGAGAATTTATAGTTTTAATTTGAACATTTTTTTAAAGAGAGCTGACTTTTTTTAAAAAGAATTTTATTTATTTTCAGAGAGGGACAGGAGGGAGAGAGAGAGAGAGAGGGAAAGAGACATCAATGTACCATTGCCGGGGGTCATGGCCTGCAACCCAGGCATGTACCCTGACTGGGAATCGAACCTGCGACACTGGTTCGCAGCCCGCACTCAATCCACTAAGCTACGCCAGCCAGGGCCAGTTTTAATTTGAACATTTCACCTAAAATGTCACATGGTGTGCTTGAGTCTGATATTGTTAAGTTATAGAATTATATGCTTATGAT